AAAAAAAAAAATAAAATAAAATAAAATTGTATTACCCTAAGATGTCACCAGCGACTATTAAGTGATTTTTTTACTAGTAAATTTAATTCAATATATGAGTTTAAGTCGACAAACATTATTGGGAGAAAGGGATAGCTAATCTATTATTTCATAAACTATTATTTCCTGACAAAATATATTCAGTCACTGTTTTATTTGTATTAGACCTAAGTAAATGATTTTCAGAAATGTGAATACCCAGAAAAACTATTAAAAGAATGAAGTTATTTTAGAATCAGAAGTAGCTTTAACAATCTATTTCAACCTCTGCTTTACAAAGAACTTAAAGGACAAAGCCACACACCAAACAAAGGGGCAAGAACACACAGCAAAGTGGTGGCCAAGATTATTCATTCACTCAAATGCTTACTGTTTCTATTATTTGCCAACCATTGTGTTAGCACATTCCCTGTGCTCAAAAATTTCACAGTCCAGTGGGAGAATTAAACATAGTTAACTAAATTAGCTATTATATAACAAATTGAAACACAATAAGGTAGAGATATGCAGATGGAATGATGATAAACACTATGGAAATTAGAAATTGACACAGTACAGTACATGGGAAAAGTATACAGGCTTTTAATTTGCTGACCAGTAAAGGGGCAAGCAGGAACTAGCAAAGGCTGGAAGGCAGAGGCCACACTGACAGCAGGTTGTCCTGTTAAAGAGCTTGGACTTTAAGCTGTAGGTATTAGGAATCATTGAAGAGTTTTAAGGGGAAAGACATATTAGGTGTGCAGCCAATGGGTCCAAATATTAGTATTTAAAGAACAGGCAGTGGAAGGTGACCATGAGAAAACCAGAAAGAATGGCATAGATGTAGGGGAAGAATCAGGAAAGAAGAACCACAAAGGAGAAGGAAACAATTTTAAGAAGGGCAAGCAACTGCAGCAGAGATTTTTCAGTAAGACAGTAGAGTGATGGAGAATTCAGATAGAGTGAATCAAGAGGGGAAAGTGTGTGGAACAAGGAAAAATGGCCAATATAGATTATACTTTGGAGAAACTTGAGTTAGATGGGTAAGAGTAAATGAGGGTGCTTTTATTCCTCCCCAGGATAGAGTTGGCTTACTTTAGAGGCTTTTCTGAGGGTTAAATGAGATAAGGTACATGAAAGTCCTCTTAAAAACTATGAAGGACAACACAGATATACAATATTCAAAGCCATTTCTGGCCAAATTGAGTAACATTTTATGGAGGCTCCAAGATCCCCGGATGGGAGATGAGGAAATCAGCAGGAGCCAGGAAGAAGACGTAACAGTAGTTAACACTCGTTGAATACTAATATGCGCCAGATACTCACATGTAACCTGGTAAGTTATATGTTATTATTCCTGTTTTACAGATGAGATAACCAAAGCTCAGAAAGGTTATGTAATTTGCCAAGGTTACACAGCACAGCTGAATCCCAGACTATCCGATGCTCTTTCTACTTTACCATGCTACACCTGACAGATCTAAGCGCTAAGATAAGATCTTAGATTTTTTACCTAGCATTTCTTTTTTCATTTTCCCCAGAATCCTGGTACATAACCGTCTTCTGGTGGGAGAGGTTTCAGAATCCTTCCCAAGCAACTCCTTAAAAAACTCAGTAGCTTTGGGGCGCCTGGGTGGCGCAGTCGGTTAAGTGTCCGACTTCAGCCAGGTCACCATCTCGCATTCCGTGAGTTCGAGCCCCGCGTCAGGCTCTGGGCTGATGGCTCAGAGCCTGGAGCCTGTTTCCGATTCTGTGTCTCCCTCTCTCTCTGCCCCTCCCCCGTTCATGCTCTGTCTCTCTCTGTCCCCAAAATAAATAAACGTTGAAAAAAAAAATAAAAAAAAACAAAAACAAAAAACTCAGTAGCTTCTGGGGTGGAATTATACAGTCTCCATAAATGATTTGTTTCCTTTTCAGTTGAAATATAACCCAAAGTCTCATGACTCAGTATTTACACAAAAAACTCTTAATTCATCCTGTCAAATGGCCAAAATGAGCAGATAAATCAGAAAATGCTATATTTGATATAACACAGGGCCAGTGCTACTATGAAAATTAATGAGTTTAAGCATAAGTGGTATAAACTACTCAAGAGACTATTTCAATGTTTGGGACCATATAAAGCTAAAACTTAATGTGTTTGTCTAGTATGTAAACATCATTAGTATGTTTACGTACCTGTTGCCACACCACACAGATGCTTTCCAATTCCTACCACGGGTAGTTTTTCTTTGCTTAGCAAAGGAATCTTGTCTGTAATAAAAGTAAATGAGAACCGAGTTAGCTCTCTTCTGAGATAAGGCATTCACATGGCATTCTAAAAGAGAGAACCAATTTGAACCTTTAGATTTTAGGGCGTGAAGAGACTGAAACAAAAACTTCACTTTATTGCTGATGAATGAGAGACTCAAAGATGTAGTGACCTGATAAATACCAGCCAGAATTAGAATTAAAGTTTCTTTCTTCTTTTCTTCCCTTTTCTTTCCCTCTCGCCTTTCCTCTCAAGTTAAAGTTTCTTGACTCTTAGGCCAACGTTATTTCTTATATACTGACCCAGGACTTTCCTCTGTAGAAGCCTTTTTTTGCTAAATATTATTAACACATTGATAAAAGAACTCAAAACTTTCCCTGCTAGAAGATGTATTTTGAACAAATAATACACATGATAAACATATATTAATAATATGTATTATAACATATTATATTCGATATTATAACCGTATTATATGTTATATAGTTTTAAATATATCTTCATGTTCAAAAATAAAATGTTTTCTTAAGCTTTTCACATTATTTTGAAAAAAGAAAATATTCATAACAGTCCTGAAAAAGTAAAAAAAAAAAAAAAGTCCACAAGGTAATGCACTAAAACGTACTACATTCGTTATGGCCTCCATTTTTTCCCCATTCATTTTCCTTTTTCTAAGATTCCAAAATGAAAAGTATGCTTCCCACTACAAATCCAGCCACAGCACCTAGTACAGTGGAACAGTCCAATGGAAGTACTTAGTAAATTCAACTTTTCTGTTGCTTGCTTTCAAATGTATTATACTACATGCCAGGAGAAATTGGTACCAAGTGGAATAGTTTGCCTGTGTCAGGGAAGATAGAAGTTTAAATTAAGATAGTTCAAGAGACTTACCATCAGTTAGGGTGAAGGGAAAGGGTGTCTAAGAAAGCCCTTCTGCTTTATGCTTGAAAATTACCTCATTTCCTCTCTCCCCTATTTCTTTGGGCTTGGAAAATAGAACAGATGAACTTCTGGGAAATGATGGTAGATTGAATACAAGTATCTGGTTTGCTCCCTCCCAAAACTCTACCAAAATGAGAATTAAAGGATTTCTGAAAAGGTATAAACTCACAAAATCTGAAAGAGGTCAAAAGGAGACAAAAGTGGGAAAGGCTGAGAATTAACCAAATTTATTCCACAAATCTTCAAAAGGCTTAAGAATTGGGGGTATCAGGTACCTTGGAAGTGGAGCTGAGTAGCTACAATAGTGTTGGTGGAAAGTCTACTTAAGTAGTCAGATCCCCACCTCATAGCTACTTGGTGAGTACCTCTTTCCCACTTGGTAGAAGACTATGCATGAATTCTCTGGAGCATCAGGAGGTCAGTGGATTGAGGGACAACAGGAAGTTGAGAGTTGAAGTATGGTAAAGGAGCAGGAATAAGTGAGTTGTGCATATGGATTTCCCCACTGGGTCCCAGAATGTTTGCAATCAGATCTTTAACCTGTAGGTAGGTGATCAGAAGATTCTCCTCTGTGGAATCTGACCAACTCAAGAGGAAAGATCACATCTTAGGCAGATCACCCCAAAGTGGAGCTCAGAGTCAACAATTCCACCTGAGGACTTGGAGTTCTGAGTCCCTCAATCCTAAGAACATACCATCAAGGAGCACTAGCTGTTTAAGGACAGCCTCTAAGTTGAAAGAGACAGACCAAAACAAATGGAAAAGAACAAATTGGTGAAAGCAGATTATGAAGGGAGAATAATTCTTAAAAACCATTATTAATATCCTCAGAAAGGTAAGATACGGCAATTAAGAGAAAAGAACAAGATATAATAAAGGTAAATTCAAAGAAAAAAATCTTAGAAATGAAAACTATGATAGGAGAAATTAATTGGGAAAATTTTAGAAAGTATAGAAAAGAGACCAAAAGACATAAAACAAAGAATTCAAGAGGAGTAGAAAACCATCCCAGTAGGTCTAATAGCTAAATCATGAGAAAAAAAATTTTTTGAGACAGAAAGAGTATGCGAGAGAGGCAGAGAGAGAGAGGAAGATAGGCTCTGAACCACCACTGCAGAGTCTGATGTGGTGCTTGAACCCATGATCTGAGATCGTGACCTGAGCCAAAACCAAGAGTCAGATGCCTAAACAACTGAGTCACCCAGGCACCCCAAATCATAGGAATTCTTATGTAAAGGGAGAAAAGAGAAAGTGGTGTAGAGAAAATCATGAAAGAAAGAATGCCAAGGAAATTTCCCAGAAAGCTGAGAGTACTAGAATCTCTAAATCAGGATTTTTCATCTTTGGCATTATGGACTTTTTGGCCCCAATAATTTTGTTGTGGGGAGCTATTCTATACCTTACAGGATATTTAGCAGGCCTCTGGTCTAGGAAGCTCTCTGGCCTGTATTAGATGCCAGCAGCATACCCACAGCTATGACAACCAAAAATGTCTCAGACATTGCCAAAGTACCCTGGTGGACAAAATCGGCTCCAGTTGAGAACCTCTGCTATAAACGGAAGAGTCCAGCACAATGGATAAAAATATAACCACATGAAGGCACATCCCTGTGAAAATTCATAACACTGACAACAAAGAAGGGCCTATAAAATTTTAACAAAAAAGCAGATCACATACAAGGGAACAAGATTCAGAATGGCACTGAATGTTTAAACAATACTAGCGGAATAAACTTTCAAAATTCTAAAGGAAAATGATTTTCAACCTTGAAATACAAATCCCCAGGCAAGTCAAGTGTAAGCCAAAATAAAAGATATTTTCGGACAAGGCAAGGTCTCAAATGCATTGTTTCTCAGGAAGCTATAGGAAGAGGTGCTCTGCCCGAAGAAAGAGTAACTCAACAGAGGAAGATGTGGGAAAAAATATGGAAAAAGAAATTCCCATCCAGAGAGTCGAAGAAATCCCTAGGATGAGACTGAAGAGAGTTTTAATGCTGATCATTGTGCGCCAAGAACAGAGGGCATCCAGTCTGGACTGGAACATGTCTGAAGGATACAGGGGAGAATTATTTTAGGAAGATGGAAAGTAATAGAATACTTGATGAATGTATTACAACAAATACATTTTTAAAAGACCAAGTAAACAAAATTATAAATTATTAATTTATCAACAACAAAAAACTGTACAGGAAAAAGTAATTTAATACATGTTCCTGTGATTAAAAAAAATGATGATTTAATCTTTAGTGCATATTAGAAATATGAGGATTGGGAAGTGTTTGCACTTGAGGCGGGGCAGGAGTAGAAAATCTTTATCTTCCACTGGGAAAAACCAGCAGATAATGGTTGAAAAAAAAAAAGGAGCAGCAAAAACAAAAGCCTGTTGTTAGACACTTGAGATAAATATAAAAATTCACCTGTAAGAGGTAAATGTGGTTGGATTTAAAGAGAGAACCATGGCAGGGAGGAAGTGGTTGGTGCTGTTTTTATAAAAACTTGAGAACTTGTAGCACTATTTGACTCTTGACCACACATATGTAAGTTTAAGAAAAGCCCAAAAAAGAAAAACAATAAATGAAGAAAAAACAAAGGGGGGATGTCTCCGGTGAACTCTTTCAATAGAAACTTCCTGTTCTTTCTCTTTCCCTAAAATGATGAATAGTCAATTCCAACCGTGCCCCCAGGAAGAGAAGTCCTCTAACTGAATGTCATCTTCTCATTTCAAAATTACCTTTAATCCCTCTCAGTGTGTCATTAAGTCTTTTATTTTCAAAATTAAGAAAAAGCCAAAGTATGGAAGTCTGCAGATCATGACCTGAGCCAAAGTCAGACACTTACTTGACCAAGTCACCCAGGTGCCCATATGATTCACATTTTCACTGGTGGCTATATTTTTAGGTAGGTCATTGTTTAGCAGGAGAGAGATTTTTCAACTGGTACAAATTGTAAAAGGGCAGTAGTGAACTAGATTGTAGATATTTGCTCCCTATTAATCTCTCTTATTTTGGTTTAAAATATGGAATGGGGGCACAGAGTGGGCACAGAATAGTCATATAGAAACTAAGAAATATGGTAGGCTACTTTTCAGTATGCTTAATAAGAATTCAACACCCACCATAAAAACTTGTCTAGAATTTTCAATTTTAGAAAAGTAATATACTCAGTTAAATAATTTTAAATACAGTGATTTATATATAAATGCTGGGTTGCTTCACAAAGCTGTATTAATTAGTGGGATGGAAGAGGTTACTAGGACATGTCTATATTAATATGAAAAACTACAAAAAGGTACAGAAAGGCACAAAGAGTAGGACTGAAGGGTGTGTGTGTGTGTGTGTGTGTGTGTGTGTACAAAATGGGACTTGTATAGAGAGATGAATTATTTCCTTTGCTACTTTCTAGGAAGTATCTTTTGCCATCAGCTAGACAAAGAACTACCTTAATTCTTTAACAGTTTAGGTAAAGTCATGTTAATTATAGGTAGAAGGCTAGTGTATGGTATGAACAGACTCATAATTAAACAAGACAAACAAATAATATAGGGACATATTATTAACACTTTTAAACTCTTTCCTAATATGACACTTCATTTCTAATTGATACTGAAACCCCATTTTAAAAAGTTCCAACCCTGGGGTGCCTGAGTGGCTCAAGTCGGTTGAGCGTCCGACTCTTGATTTTGGCTCAGGTTGTGATCCGAGGGTTGTGGGACCGGGCCCCGTGTCAGGTTCCATGCTGAGCGTGGATGGAGCTTGCTTAAGATTCTCTTTCTTTCTCCCCCTCTGTCCCTCTCCCTCGCTTGCATGCTTGCTCTCTTTAAAAAAAAAAAAAAAAAGGGAAAAAAGTTCCAACCCTAATTCAATTTACATTCATTCAAATGTTAGATATAACATTTTATGTTAACAACGCATTAATTTTAGTTTGTCTTCACTGAAGCACTGTTCTGCATGATTGGATTTCTAAGCAACCCTCAGAATTTGAAACTTCTATGATTTATGGTAGAGCAACTGAAAGTTATGCAACTTACTCAAACACAAGTGCTGAATATCAATTTGAAGTCTCTCAAACACTGAATTTTTCTTCCTGTGTTTGCCATCTACCTGCACAAAAATAACATTATCATAAGAATGGTTTTTTATATTTAAAAAGATTTCTATTTGTTTTCAAAATTTGGAGGAAATAATTTCCCATCTTATTTTTTAATACTTAAAAAACAGAATCACTAATTAAAAAATTTAAGATTATATATTCTTTGATGAAAACTCTAAAACAGTATCATACATTTTTAAAAGCCTTGAAAATTTTATAAATTTTTATGTATCATTATTTCCTTTAACTCTAAAATGTCCCAATTCACTGATGAAGGAACTAAGGTTCAAAGATGTTAAGTGACTAACCTAAGGTTATTTGCCAGCTCCTTTGCCTTTGCTAGCCCATAATACACTATTTTTGGCTCATTCCGTTTACTCTCTCTGAAAGATCACAATCACCATTCTGATCTATGTCTATGTGCCTATGACTTCCAAATCTACACTGTGGCCCAGATCTTTTTGATGAGCACCAGGCACATACCCAGTTGTGAACTAGAAAGTTCTACTTCAACAGCAAAATCAATCAAAACTAAACTCATCATTTCTCTCTCCGAACCTATTCTTCCTCTTCTCCTTGTATATTCCCTATTTCAGGTAAAAGGCACCACAAGTCACTTAAAGCCATAAAGTGTCACCCGAAATAACTCCTCTCTCATACTTAATGACTAATAAATCAACAAGTCTCCTTGCTTCCAAATACTTAGCATTTCTCACACTTTTTTTCTCTTCTCCATCCTACTGCAACAGCCTCAGCTCTGGCTCATGTCTTACTTGAATTACTGGATAATTAATCTTATCATTAATCTCTCATTAATCTGCTATATCTTTAATGGTACTGTTAGGATGAACTTTTTTTTTTTTTCAACGTTTATTTATTTTTGGGACAGAGAGAGACAGAGCATGAATGGGGGAGGGGCAGAGAGAGAGGGAGACACAGAATCGGAAACAGGCTCCAGGCTCTGAGCCATCAGC